ACTTCGTTTACTAATTTATTGTATGGTTGTGTACAGGTCCGGTTTTTCTATTCTTTCACGTGTAGGGAAAATCTTTATTTGGTAATGGAGTACTTAAATGGAGGAGATCTTTTCTCTTTGCTGAGGAACTTAGGCTGCTTGGAGGAAGATGTGGCACGTATATATATTGCAGAAGTTGTAAGGACTGTTAATAATCTTGCATTAAATTACAGACGCCGATTGCTATTTTCAGTTCTTCTCCTCAATTATGGATATATATTTATCTGTTTCTTTCAGGTTCTTGCTTTAGAGTATTTGCACTCATTAAATGTCATTCATAGGGATTTGAAGCCAGACAACCTGCTGATAGGTCCAGATGGTCACATCAAGGTCAATATATAAAAGTTTTACTTATATTCCCTCCTCATGTTATCTGAGACATTTCGATTTTTAGACGACTTCGAAAAACGTCACCATTCCTAGAATAAAAAATGATTTATATTTTCATTCCTACATTGCTCATGAAAAGTTAGTAATTGAAATTTGAGGGAAGAATGTGTCTTGATGTTCAAACTCACATCAAAACATGTGGAAAAAAGTGGAGGGCACAAATGAAGTTTTAAATTGTAAGCGTGAAAGTAATATTTCATAAACTTGGTGCCAAAAGGTGATTGACAAGTAACATGAAACAGAGGGACTACTTCATAATTGTGACATTTTTATTATCAACATTTTGTTAGATATCTATTCTTTTACAACTTATCTTCAATTTCAGTCTCATTGTCGCATTGAGTATAGGTGTCCTCTAGTATCGATTCTCCACAAAATTGACATCCACAATTTTTTTTGTATGTTGGGGGAAGGGGTGATAGCATTCATACCCTTTTAATGTCGAGGAGGAGACTAAGAATTCACATTTAATGGCCCTAGGATCAAGTTTTCCCCTCAAATTTGATGGACATATATGTATGAGACAATCAAACACTTTAGAACATTTAGTAACCTATACTCGCTGTCACCTATTTAATGAGATTGGATGCCTTCTTCATGACTTTCAGTCACCTGAAGACAAGATTCAAACACTGGTACTTACTTGAGTTGAACCCTCAAGATTGCTTGCCCTGCCAGCACAAGTTTAGCAGATCTGTCATATTAAGGACCTTGTTGAAGACTAGATCTTTTTGACTTTTTGCTTTTCGATTCTCTAATTGTCCTACTATGGCAATCTAACAATGTATTTTTCAGTTTTTACAAATCAAATCCATACTGTTGCAGTTGACAGATTTTGGGCTCTCCAAAGTTGGTCTTATAAACAGTACAGATGACTTATCTGGTCTGCCTGCTTTTCTTGGGGACGATAAACCAAAAGCTTCTGCTGCGCAATCATCGGTCAAAAGAGAACAGCGGCAAAAACATGCTGTTGTTGGAACCCCCGACTATTTGGCACCAGAGATACTCTTGGGCACAGGACATGGTCTGAATCTATATCATGATAAATTTTATATTTCAATATGAGTAATCAGGTGATGTTTAATGCTTTTTCTGTTAATAATTCTGAGGTTGTCTTTATCTCTCTGTGATTTTCTTCTTTTAGGCGCAACAGCTGATTGGTGGTCTGTGGGTGTCATTCTTTTTGAGCTCCTTGTAGGAATTCCACCTTTTAATGCTGAACATCCACATGTAAGCCATCTTTATGCAATAACCTGTGGGTCAAGTGATAAGGAATTTTAACTTATGAGTATTTGCCTTTCCTACGCCTCTTTAGCTCTCAAGGTTTTGCATCTATTACTATGCAATCTTGTTGGCCAATGGGATGCTAATTTATTTTTTATTTTTATTAATTTTTTTGGCACATTTTCTGAACAGCTGATTGCAACGCAATATGATTGTTTTATTTTGTTGCAAATATTTGACTTCTGAGGGTAATTGATGAG